CTCTCCAGTAGCTGTAACCACTTTCATTGGAGGGCGAATGTCATACATTTGCAAATTTAGACCAACGGCCATAAAATCAGACATACAGGAGTGTGTAGCTCCTGAATCAAACAACACTTCAACATCCATATTATCAATGTAAATTGTACCTTTCACTAGATTCGGAGCCTTCTCCGATTGTTGACGGTCCATGGTATATACTCTACCAACCGTCTGAGACTCTAGCATAGGTTGAACAACAGAGACCGGAACAGCAGTAGCTTGAACTGCCATAGTCCTTGCTTCGTTCTGAGGACACTGCCTGGAGTAGTGACCGGATCTTCCACATTTAAAGCAAATCACCTCACCAGTAGCACATGGACCTCTATGCTCTTTGCCACATCCCTTGCACTTGGGAGGAGGTCCTCTATCAACAAACTTCTTCTGAGTACCGGGTTTTTTGAACAAGTCAAAGGGCTTATTCGCATTCAGCTTCTTGCCTTGCACCTTCCTGTTCTTCCAATAACCTGAGCCCGTTGCTTTATTGGAACTAGGTGCCTGGGCCTCAGAAGACTTCTTGGCTTGGGACACCTTATACACTTCTTCCACCTTTCTACACTGGTTTACAAACCGACTGAACTCTCGGATGTCACAATTTGACATCTTCCGAGACATCTTCTCATTAAGACCCCATTGGAACTTGGAGGTCATTTCAGCCGGGGTGGGTAAGGCTCGCCCATAGTTGGCGTATTTCACCAACTCATTGAATTTTGAGAAGTATTGGTCAATAGACATCGACCCTTGTTTGAGATCGTTATACTCATTCTGCTTTTGTTCCCTAGCCTCTCTAGGGAAGTAGTTATCCAAGAACAATGTCTCGAATAACCGCCATGTGATCTCCCGACCTTCAGCTTCTAATGGCTGCACGGTATTTGTCCACCAATCTTCTGCTTCCTCTTCCAGCATATAAACAGAGTAAGCCAACTTCATTGCGTCAGGGCACCTCATCACCCTGAATATTTTCTCCATAGCTTGGAGCCATTTTGCAGCCGCCATTGGCTCATAACCTCCCTTAAAAGAAGGAGGTTTATGTTTTCGGAAAGCCATCAATCTCCTTTCCTCCATTTCATGATCACCGACATTTTCAACTTGAGGTTGACGAACCTCGGTGTGATGACTCAGACTCCCAGAGTGGTGACTACCTTCACCCTCATTGTTACCCACTCCACCCTCTTCCTGTGACGGAGGTGGAGAAGGCGTAGCAGTGTGAGGAGGAGGAGTAGGTTGCCGGTTCACGGGCCTAGGACCCCTCAACGTCCTCAGCTCAGTCATCATTGCGGCCATAGCAGTCCGCGAGTCTTCATTTGTCTTTAACAAATTTTCATTGGCTTGCCTGCTAGCAGCCAACTCTCTCTGAACGGCTGCAAGAGCTTCAGCCACGGGATCAGGCGGTACGCCCGTTGCCCCACGGCCACTTCTAGGCCTCACAAGAGCAGCCAAAACAGGTTCTGGCTGAGCATTGGTGTTTGATGGTCCGGGGTTGTTTCGGTTCCTCGTCATGTCACTACACATGTTACACAAAGAAGTGAGTTGATCAGGCCCACACTTAGTGATCACAAATGCAATAATCATACAGAGTACTAAAACAACTATAAAGCATCAAACACTAAGCATACTCAACAATAGCTAACAGTTATTCCCAACGAAACTGCTCTGATACCATAAAATGTAACACCCCGTTCTAGAACCGGTTTGTTAACATCGCATTATGATATTAAGCGCAGTTACAATCACATTGGTTCAATTAAAATCCGGATAAATTTTTCATTTTAAAACGTACCGAACTTATAATACCCAATTTCGTGATCATAACCATATTACCTTGCGGAAACAGATAAATTAAGCTTAACATCATGTTCATTTCCCATTTTTAAACCATTAATTTACTTCTTTTTTAGTTCAATACTTCTACTATATTGTAGGTTTCTTCATTAGCTACCCGTGGCTTCAAACCGTGCTCAAATCGGAGCACTGTAGTCCAAGTTAGGACAATTTGAAGCAACACAAGAGAGTGTTGGTCACAGGCCCCGCGCGCTTCAGCGCGCTACCGGGCGCTCAAGCGCGCGCTATCGGGCGCTAAAGCCTCCATCTGGGCGCTTAAGCGCACGGAGGCAGTAAGCATCAGGCATTCCAGTGTGGATGGGCGCTTAAGCGCGCAACAGGGCGCTCAGGCGCGCTATCCTGGGCGCTCAAGCTCCCACGGGGACGTTTTAGCGCGCAGAGACAGAAGCATCTCCTCCTTCAGTGGCGAAGGGCGCTTAAGCGCGGACCAGGGCGCTCAAGCGCGCAACCCTGGGCGCTTAAGCCCCACCCTGGGCGCTAAAACACGAGGGGGCAGTAAGCCACCCAACTTTCTGCAGCAAAGGGCGCTTAAGCGCACGCCAGGGCGCTCCAGCGCGCAATTCTGGGCGCTTAAGCCCCCACTTGGGCGCTCCAGCGCAAGGAGGCAGAATGCATTGGCACTCGCAGGGGCAGCAGGGCGCTTGGGCGCGCTCCTGGGCGCTTAAGCGCGCTGCCAGGGAATTCCAATTCCCACATTTCTCAAGTCCAAGCCTAGGGGAAAATGCATCCCCATTACAAACCCCAATTGTCCATGCCCCAAAACTAAATCCTAGCACTCATCCAACCTCTCCTCATGAGATTTAGCTAGAATTTGGGCAGCATGACCTTTGTTTTCTTATCGTTTACCAGTTTAAACAAAAGGGTACCTAATTGATTTTCAGCCCAACCAATTCAACAACTCAATACATAACAAGCATGCATATATTGAATTCAAGTAGGCATCATTTACATTACATATCCTTTACAAATCATAGAACTTAGCTTACAAAACACTATGATCATTCCCTTGGCTCCCATCAACAAAAGGTGTAACCAAAGGCATGAGCATAGGCTAAGTTCATCCAATGAATCAAGATATACAAATGACCATGGGCTTTCAAAATGAAATCCTATACATGTCAACTACAAAAGGTATGCATAAACTCAAAGAAATGCCATATTTCATGCATAATCCAGATATGGCCACTTGCCACCAGAGGCTCCTGCAGCATCCTTACCTGAAAGGGGGTCCCCACAACACGGGGTGAGATATACGAATATATCCAGTAAACCAGGGGTCCTTGGAGCATCTCTCCACCCCACAGTTCCATATCAGTGTAATAGCAATAACAATAATAATGCAGTAAATACATATCTATGCAAAGTGCAATACATCTCCAGGAGAAATCCCTCGAGCTCTCAAGCTGTCCTAAGGAAACTCAGATGCAATTAGTCCTACTGGCCAGCTAACTACCAAGTATGATTTACGCATCGTCATGCAACATACCAACATAGGGAAACACCATCCTATGCCACACCAAATGCATACACATACGTATAACAAAGCATTACACTATTTTATTGCATTTATATACACAATCACAACCTCTACCCTTTCAGGGCTTGGTAGAACAGTCAAGGGAATTACACCCAAGGTCCGAAGGCTTACCTCAATGCTTCAGTCAACCTTTGTTCTTCACCAACAGTTTCAGCAATCAACTTTTACAAACATACACCTACACATGGTGTAATGCAATCAACACATTGCATCCAAGAGTATTTCACAATCAACCATCAATTACTCAATTCAAAGCACAACACAAGTATGAGCTTACCAATTCCAATGAGCTATTCAAGCTTCATAGCTTGCTCCAATGGTTGATCACTCACGGTTGGTCCAAATGTCTCAATCCTAGACATCACAAGGATCCAATCAATCATTCAACTCACTAATTGTTCAACATGCTAGAATACTAACCAATCCAAGCATGAATTTTCCAATATTATGAACAATTATCAAATGACTATCTAGGCTCATTTCCACCGATTAAATGACATTCCTAGCATTTTCCATAACATGCTCTAAGCTCCATTCTTCCTAGAACATAGCTAATTCAACTACATTTCATAAAAATCCCAATTTACTATTCACAAACCCTAACTCATGCAAATTTCAAGGAATCATGAGGTTCAAGGGTTAGAATCTTACCACCAATGGTCACACAACCAAGGATTGATGGCTCCTCAAGCTTCAATGGAGGTAGAAACTCTCAAAACCCGAAATTTCTCCAAAGGGCCGAATTTTTGAGAGGTAATATCTCTCTCCACAATGCTCCCCACTCAAAACAAAGCTAGGATTATGAAAGAGGGGAAGATTTAGAGTGATTTAGGCTTTTGAATCACTCCAATCGGTTAAGATTTGCTCTCACTCTCTCTTCCTCCCTCCTTTCCCTTCTTCTTCTTTCTCCTTCTTCCTTTCCTCTTCTCTGATGCTCGACGGGTTGCTTGGGGGGGTTTGGGTTCATTTTGGCTTTTAATCACTTAACATAGGTTAAGTGGCTTTAAGCGGGTATTGGTTCGTCTATCTATTCAACTCCAATAATTACCAAACTTTACCCAAAAGTCTGGAATATTATTCTAGGAATATTACTATTTTTATTTTTATATTTTGGGTACTTTTGCCAGTACCCATTTATACCCCTTAATTTTCACTGAGTACACTTTTTAACTCCAAAGTGACTCAGATTCATTTAATTAAGCCTTATACTTAATTTCACTCACTAAAACATGTTTAATTAATTAATTACACTTGATTTACTAATTAATTAAGATGGCTATTATATATGACACCCCCAAGTGGGACTATGCAAATTGAATAGACCCAACTTGAGTATAGCATGAATGAAAACCTTAGAAGGCAAAGGCTTTGTAAAGACATCAGCCAGCTGAGCATTGGAGGGGACTGGGAGTAAGTGGATTAAACTAGAGCAAATCTTCCCTCTTGTTACATGGCAATCAATGTCTATGTGTTTAGATCGTTCATGAAAGACTAGGTTATGAGCAAGAAACATGGCAGACTTGTTGTCCCAATATACAGATGCTAGTTTGGACCAAGGAATGCACAAGTCATGGAACAAATATTAGAACCATTGAAGTTCACATGATAAACTTGCCAAAGCTCTGTATTCCGCTTCAGAAGATGATCGTGAGACTGTAGGCTGCTTCTTTGAACGCCAAGCGACGAGGGATGAACCAATAAAAATACAAATACCAGTAATGGAGCGTCTGGTATCAGGACATGAAGCCCAATCTAAATCACTGAATGCACGAACATGAAAATCAGATGCAGAAGAAAAGAATAAACCAGTGGAAGGGGCACCCTTTAAGTAGCGAAGAATCCTGGTAGTTGTTGCCATGTGAGTGTCAAGTGGGTGAGAAATGAATTGACTGAGCTGTTGTATTGCAAATGATATATCAGAACGTGTGGTAGTGAGATACAGTAGCCTTCCAACCAATCTTCTGAAGGAAGTAGGACCATCGAGTGGAGTCTCATTTGTTCTGCTCAGATGGTGAGTAGAATCCATGGGCGTAGAGCAAGATTTGGTCGCCAGAAGTCCTGCATCGGAGAGGATTTCAAGCGTATATTTACATTGATTGAGATGAATACCCTTTTGAGAATGTGATACTTCAAGCCCCAGAAAGCACCTTAGAGGAACCTAAGTCCTTTATGCGAAACTATTCATGGAGAAAGGGTTTGACACGCTGTATTTCAAAGGGTGAATTACCTGATAATACAATATCGTCAACATAAACGAGCAACACTATGAAAGGTTCTCCATTCTTAAGGGTAAACATAGAATGATCTAATTGAGCTTGAATATATCCAAGAGAGAGAAGAGTTGATGAGAGTTTGTTGTACCATTGCCTATTAGCTTGACGAAGTCCATATAGTGACTTATTCAAGTGACCGACATAGTTCAGTTTCAGGCCACTCAACCCCGGAGGAGGTTCCATATAAACTTCTTCTGATAATCAATTCTTTTTGAATTTCAATGGCAAATCAAATCCATTTGCAAGAATTCTTAAGGTGTTGGGTTGATATGGTTCTTTACAATTCTACAAAACAATTTTAAAAACAAAAAAACCAAAACACAATCATACAGATCCATATATGTGTTTTTGTTTTTTATCTTTGTTTACAGTTGGGGCATTCTTATCGGCGTTCTACCTTCTTTGCACAGATTGACTCCATTTCAACCTATATTTTTTCATATTGACTCCATTTTATCTTGTCTTTCCGTAGAGTGACACCGTTCCATTTTGTCTTTTTGCAAACAAGCTCAATTCCATCTTATCTTACTGCAAACTGACTCCATTAGACATGCGTTTCCATAGATGCAGTCTAACCTTGTCTCCAATCCCGAATGCAATTTGACCCCATCTCCAATCCTAGATGCAGTCTCTTCACTGGGTTATATATTTAATTTTTTTTTAGTCTCATTAATTGTTAAAAACTAAAGCTTAATAAGCTTTAAGAGAGTGATAGAATATATAAAAATATCCCACAATATCATTACTGTACTTTAGAATATTTTTAACTTTGAAGTGTCTTAAATGATATCTTGAGAATGGCATATTTAGTATTTTCCATAATTTGTTTCTTTAATTAATTAAGATCATGAATCTAATTAGTATAAATAGAGGTTAATATTCTCTCTTTTGCATCACATATTATACACTGAGAGAATCTTATTCAAAATCAATATTCTATCTGGTTCTCCTTTCATATCTAAATTCTTATAGTTTCAACAATAATGATATGCGTATTTAAAAAATTATTGCAAATCAAACGATGAGCATACCCTTGTTTTCCTCTTGCCAGATAGTCAAATCTCCTCTGATCAAATAATCAGAAAAGTGTCGACACAGCTCAAGAGAGGTTCGCGTCCACCCCAACATATTCCCAACTCTGCCTAGTGGTGTCTCAATCTGATCTCAATCTTGGGCAATTAGGACGGAACAAGAAAAGACAAAATAAAATGGTAGATAATGTTAGTCCATGGTGACACTTCCAAACTGTGTCACGATGCAAGCTAGTCAACTCCAAACCAAAAGTCTCGTCAGTTCACTATTCAGTCCAGTTTTAAGGAAAACATAAATACAGTTTAGAGAGAAGAACCTGAAAACTTAAATGATAAGGCATTAGAATCTAAGCAATTATTATACATTTATTATGCAATACACAAAAAAGCGAGTGAGATCCACTAAAGAGAAGAGGGAGAAAGGAAAAAAAAAAGGACCCCACCTATTTTGTGTGTGTAAATAGACAAAATTATCTAATGCAACGTAAGAAACATATTTCCTATGTCATATGTAACATCCCCAAGATTAAATTCACCGAGGCAAGATGTAATACGATAAAATCGGCAGAATATTCCCTGCCATTATACTTGAATTTCACAAACATAGTTTTCATTAAAAACTCTTCCCACAGCCGTAACAATACGCATAGGAGTTTTCATTTTTATCACATGCAGACCAAACGCTTCGGCTACATAATCAGCAATAAAAGAATGTGTGACACCAGAATCAAACAAAACACTAAGCATTTCATCACGAATAGAAATCATACCTCGTACCAAACTAGCTGACCTCTCAGCCTCTTGCTGAGTCACTGCATATACTCGGGCAACAGGAGGTGGGAGAGGTAGAGATGGTTCCTCAACCACAATAGGAGCCGGAGTAGCCTGAATAGTAGAAACTTGTCCCCCACTGAAGGGGCAGTCCTTAATAAAGTGCCCGGCTTGGCCACACTTATAACACAATCTTTGTTCTCTCCTGCAAACCCCAGAGTGAGCTTTTCCACATATAGAGCATTGAGGAGCAGATTTAAAATTTCCAGGCTTAGAATTTCCCGCCTTTTTGAACTTACCATCAGACTGTCTAACCTGCAACCCTTTTCCTTTAGAATTCCCAGAAGTGTTTTTAGGACCAGATTGGTCCTTGTGCTTCCTTCTATAGTACTCTTGAATGTTTTTACACTTTTTGACGAGTGCAGCAAAAGTGTGTCCTGCAAGTTTTTCAGAAATGTTGTCATGTAATCCTATATGAAATTTAAACACCAGATCATCCTCAGTAGGTGGAGCTCTCTGGAAATGAGAGTATTTGGCCAGCTTATTAAACTTATTCAGATATTCATCAATAGACATCTGGCCCTGCTTTAGTTCTTCAAATTCACCCTTCTTCCTTATCCGGGCTTCAGCCGAAAAGTATTTCAACAAGAATTGCCTTTCAAATAAAGGCCAGGTAATAGCATGACCCTGACATTCCAAGGGCTGACGGGTATTTCTCCACCAATCGGCTGCATCTGCAGCATATAAGAAGCATACAGCAATCTCTGCTGATCATCACACTCCATGACAGTAAAAATGTGATCCAACTCCTCTAACCACTGAATTGCGGCAATCGGATCAATGCCTCCCTTGTAATTTGGTGGTGCATGTTTTCGGAAGGCATTAAGCATTCTTTCTCTTTGGTCTCTATTAGTGGCTGGCTGTGCCACACCACCCCTGTGACTAGATTCTTCATTCATATCATTATTTCCTTCACCCTCCACAACAATGGGATTATGAGGAGGAGGAACAAGCTGTTGTGGTTGTGGCTCAGCCAGCTACTAATAGAGAGCAAAGAGAAAGAATGCTTAATGCCTTCCGAAAACATGCACCACCAAATTACAAGGGAGGCATTGATCCGATTGCCGCAATTCAGTGGTTAGAGGAGTTGGATCGCATTTTTACTGTCATGGAGTGTGATGATCAGCATAGATTGTTGTATGCTTCTTATATGCTGCAGAATGATGCAGCCGATTGGTGGAGAAATACCCGTCAGCCCTTGGAATGTCAGGGTCATGCTATTACCTGGCCTTTATTTGAAAGGCAATTCTTGCTGAAATACTTTCCGGCTGAAGATCAGAAAAGGAACAAGGGTGAATTTGAAGAACTAAAGCAGGGCCAGATGTCTATTGATGAATATCTGAATAAGTTTAATAAGCTGGCCAAATACTCTCATTTCCAGAGAGCTCCACCTACTGAGGATGATCTGGTGTTTAAATTTCATATAGGATTACATGACAACATTTCTGAAAAACTTGCAGGACACACTTTTGCTGCACTCGTCAAAAAGTGTAAAAACATTCAAGAGTACTATAGAAGGAAGCACAAGGACCAATCTGCTCCTAATTCTGGTCCTAAAAACACTTCTGGGAATTCTAAAGGAAAAGGGTTGCAGGTTAGACAGTCTGATGGTAAGTTCAAAAAGGCGGGAAATTCTAAGCCTGGAAATTTTAAATCTGCTCCTCAATGCTCTATATGTGGAAAAGCCCACTCTGGGGTTTGCAGGAGAGAACAAAGACTGTGTTATAAGTGTGGCCAAGCCGGGCACTTTATTAAGGACTGCCCCTTCAGTGGGGGACAAGTTTCTACTATTCAGGCTACTCCGGCTCCTATTGTGGTTGAGGAACCATCTCTACCTCTCCCACCTCCTGTTGCCCGAGTATATGCAGTGACTCAGCAAGAGGCTGAGAGGTCAGCTAGTTTGGTACGAGATATGATTTCTATTCGTGATGAAATGCTTAGTGTTTTGTTTGATTCTGGTGCCACACATTCTTTTATTGCTGATTATGTAGCCGAAGCATTTGGTCTGCATGTGATAAAAATGAAAACTCCTATGCGTATTGTTACGGCTGTGGGAAGAGTTTTTAATGAAAACTATGTTTGTGAAAATGTGAAATTCAAGTATGATGGCAGGGAATATTCTGCCGATTTTATCGTATTACATCTTGCCTCAGTGAATTTAATCTTGGGGATGTTACATTTATGGTATCAGAGCAGTTTCTCTAAGAGAGCTTGTGAAATATTGCATGAACTGTTCGGGTCGCTATATTCTTGAGTTTTTCTTGGAGTACTATGATATGTATGTCTGATCACTGAGTGTGAACGTAGCTAACTCATTCCTTTGTGTGAAATATGTAGAATTATGGTTCGCCCAAGAAGGACTTCTGATCCTCCTATTGACCCGACAGATCCAATATTAGCAGATTTGGCTAGACCCCGAATAAATCAGCAGGGAAATACTTCACAGCCAGATCCAATGATAGCGGCACTGAGCCAAGTTATGCATGCGCCCATAGATGGGTATCTGATTATATTTGCATGACTGATACTTCTGGATTGATGTGCTGTATAAACTGTTTATCAGGAAATGCTTCTGAGTGGGATTGGAAAATCCCCAGTTGTCCGATTTATAGAGGAAACTCTGTCCGATTTTCGTTTACGTCGAATGAGAATTTAAAAAGAAAAAGAAAAAGTTAGCTCGTATTTTCATAAGTTAAGCCTTCCGCTGTTTCTGTTTATATCATATGCATGTTAATTGAACCGGCTCGAGACGGGGATGTTACATCATATACATTAAACCTACCAGTCAACCCAAGCCATTTTCTTTGCAATAATTGATTCATTGTTGTTATTATTATCATATCTTAAATACGTTTTAGGACAATTTATCAAGAGAATTCAATATAATGAGAAAAAGAAATGTAACACGTGACGAAAATAAAATAGGTCAATCTTACCGCAAGCTTATCAGAATGAAGCTTTTCAAAGAAATGCTGAAATTTTCAAGCAGCTCAACCATGCTAAAATATGAGCTGAGACCTGATAATTTCTGCAATAGCAATGAATACAATATCATAAAATTCAAAAAGGGTAAGTTTGTTTAACTACAATACTATGTACAAAAAGTTCAAGTAAATAAAAAAAAAACAAAAAATCAGGCACTAAGATGCACTTGCAATTTAAGCGGTATGGGTGCCACCTCTGATTTTAACCGAATTTGAGTTCCCGTTAACCTCTTAAAATGAGTGCTTATCACAAAAAGTGGTTATGGTTAATTCTCATGTGATTAATATGAAACTGAAATTGATTAATTAAAACTAAATTTGATTAAAATTACAAGTGATATAATTACTATTGAAAGTACAAATTGTATTTACCTTTTTGTTGGGGAGGCAAACATTGGATGTGTGAATCCTCGTGGCAATTAGCAGGTATAAAAAGCTTATCAGATTGAACTCCTCAATCGTTTATTCTTTGGCGTGGTACTTCTAAATGTCGTTTAAAATTTGATACTTCCGTGATTTTGCCTTCTAATTGAACTGATGCAATCACCAAAACATGAATACCGTCTTTCATGGTTCAGATTTACTCAGATCAGATGCCATAAGCTGGAACAATTAGTGATTCTTCTGGAAATATCTTATGTATGAGGGTTATGCTGGCTGAACCAAGCCATTTACAAAACCAGCAATTTCAACTTGAGATCTCAATCCAGCTTTTTCCAGCTACTTTTATGCCTAGTTTTTTGACAGCTTCTCTTACTTTGCTTAAACTATCCCACATTCCAAGATCTGCATAAACATTTGACACCAATATATATACAGAAGCATCTTCTGGTGAGGTAGCAAGAAGATGGTCAGCAACAATATTTGCAAGATATCGGTTCTTGTGAGTTCCACAGGCACCAAGTAAGGAGCACCATAAGGTTTTGTCAGGCTTAAATGGCATGTCACTAATTAATTTTTCTGCTTCTTTGAAACGTCCCGCTTTCCCAAGTAGATCAACCATGCAGTTGTAATGTTCTGGGCATGGTGTCAATCCATGCTCTGTTTCAATAGAATTAAATATAGCCCAAGCCTCTTCAACTAAGCCAGCATGTCTACACGCAGTAAGAACACCAAGAATAGTGATTTTGTTTGGCTTTGTACCAGATTCCATCATCTTATTCAGAAGACTAATAGCCTCATCTGCTCTTCCATTTTGTGCACATCCCATAATAATCCCCGTCCAACACATGGTATCTACCTCTGAAGGACAACAAAACAAAGCTAAGGCATCCTCAATCTCACCACATTTTGCATACATATCAATAAGAGCAGTTGTAACCACTCCATCTGATTCAAACCCCTTCTTAAGACATAAACCATGAATTTGCTTGCCACTTCGATGAGATGCCAAACTTGAAGAAACTTTCAGAACAATTGAAAGGACAAAATGGTCAATCTCAAGATCCAAATGAACCATATCCATAAAGAGGGAAAAAGCTAACGTACCTGAACCAAATCTAGCACAACCAACAATCAAACTAGACCAAGCCACTACATCTTTATCTGGCAACCTTTCGAACAATCTTAATGCATAATTAATATTTCCCTGTTTCGCATACAGATCAATAAGAATGCTCCCAACAACATAATCTAACTCATAGCCACTGGTAACCACCAATCCATGCACTTGAGATGCCAATCTCAAGTTATGGAAGTGGATGCAGACTTTTAAAGCAATACTAAAGGTATAGGAATCAAATTGTGTACCAGAATGATGCATATGAGCAATCAGACTGAGAGCCTTAGCATAATCTCCATTGGCAACATACCCAGAAAGCATAGAATTCCAAAGTGCCAAGCTTTCAGAAACAGGAGAGTTTCTGAAGAATTGGTCACATATCTTCATTGCTTCATCCAATAGCTTGCAATTCGAATACATATCAATCAGTGCCGATATACAGTAACGGCTAGACTCAAACCCCGACTTGACAATATAACAATGAATCTGTCTCCCCATTGTTAACTCACCAAGAAGGCCGCAGGCTTTGAGGCCACATGGGAATGTGAATTCGTCTAGTTCAAGGCCCTTCACGTGCATCATAGAAACAAATTGCAATGCATGGGGACTAGCATTATCAGCAAGACCAGCAATGATGCTGTTCCAAGATACAAGATCTGATTCAGGCATTTGATCGAACAGATTCAGCGCATCACTCATCAAACCTTGTTTTGCATGTCCCATAATGAGGGTGTTCCATGAAATCGAATTTTTACGCGGGATTTCATAGAAAACTCGTTGCGCAACCCTCAAGTTCCCACATTTGACATACATGTCCATGAGTGCATTCATCAGAACCGTGTCAAACTCTAACTTAGCTTGAGATATGTGGCGGTGTATACACTTGCCCAATTCAACATCTCCCACGAGACCACACGCCTTGAGAACCGCAGAGTACAAGAACTGATTGGGTTGCTCTGTTTTAGATTCCAACATCTGGTTGTAGAGTGCAAGCGCGTCGTGGGGCCTACCAGAATTGGTAAAAGCAGAGACCATAGTTGTCCAGGAAACGATGTTCCTGTGAGGCATTTCGGCGAAAAGGGTTCGTGCATCATCGAAATGGGAACACTTTGCATAGACAGAGATCATGTTATTTAGGAGAAAAACATGATTAAAAAGGCCAAGTTTTATTATACAGGAATGGAGTGACTTGGCATGTTTGATAGCTTGAAAACGTCCACAACAGCGTAAACCGAACTGGATTTGGTTTAAATCCATTGGTAACCCATTACGCATTGAATTACCATGCTGTAAGCATAGCTGAGAGGACAACCTTCGAAAATCTTCGAAAATCGAAACAGTGAGTACGCTTGTTCTGCCGCGCGCTCGCTTTGCTTTGCGTATTTCGATACGTTACTCGCAAAATTGCTAGAGAATTATAAAGATAGGTGTAATTCTTATAAGTTGAAAAAAAATTAGTGTACAACCACTTGGGGACAGCGCCTTGATGTTTTTTTTTTTATAAACTTTAAATGAACGTTTAAACTCGCTTATAGTCAAGCTGCAGGCAATAGTTCGATCAATTATTTTTCTTAAATCTTACCAATCCTCTAAAATAAATATGAGAATATACTTCACTACGTTCATACATTATCTTTCTATTTTATAGTGATGAATAAAAAAGTCAATACTACTTGTACAGAAGGCAAACAAAATCACAGTAAAGAGCTCGTCTCTAGATATTAACTTATTTGAGAATGTCAGACCTGCAATCAATCCTTTCTTTTTATAAAAAAGAAAAAGGAAACAAAGGATGAAGAGATGAGAATGGGTACGTGATAGAGGAGGAAAAATAAGTTTTCTCTCTAATCAATTTGCATTGCTACGTTGTTTTAATCATCTCCGTACGTTGCTACGTTGCTAACTAATATAAGAATAAATATATTTTTTCGTCCCTAACAAAAAATTCGGTCCCCACTTAGTCCATTATAAAAAAAAATTAGTCACCTCGTCCTTATGAAATTCAAAGTGGACCAATTTTGGTCTTTTTGAGGGACTGATATAGGTCTTTTTTGAATTTGTGAGGGACCACAATTTTAACTAATTTGATTCACTTTAAATTTTTTAGGGACCTCGAAACTAATTTTTTTTTGTGAGGGAGTAAAATGGAGACCATGTTTTTTGATAAGGATTTAAAATGATATTTACTCCTAATATATATATTGAACCAAAAGACAAATAAGAACCTGTAACCAAAAAAAAAACTGAAATAAAAATTTTTATGTCCGCACTTGCGGGCATTTGCCCGCAAGTGGGTCCGCCACTGTGTACAACATAAACGAAAAAATAAAAAATAAAAAAATAGTAAACACCCTTATGTCTACTCGACAAGAAACACGTAACCCATTTTAAGGGAAAGATATTATAATAATCAATTAGGGTTATTACCAATCAATTTCACCGTTAGATCGATTATGTTGATTCACCGGATATATTTATTTTCATCTTTGTATGATTATGATTCACCATATTTAATACTTTATATTTATTTTCACCTTTGTATGGTTATGATTTTTCATATTTAATGCTTTCACGTTAAATATGGAAAATCATAACCATATAAAGATGAATATAAATATAATCATTGGATCAAATAATCGGTCTAACAGTAAAATTGATTGGTAGTAATATTGATAGTAACATTAATGTTGTTACAATATCCTACCCCCATTTTAATCCCTAAAAGAAAAAATAATAATTTATAGTCCCTCTCTGAAATTTCAGTTCTTTAAAATTATGATCCCTTAAAAATTTAAAAAAGACTCACATTAATTCCTCAAAAAGAACTAATATAAATATTTTTTTCTAAGAAATTAAAATGAGTTAAGTGTTTTTTTGTTAAGAACCTAAAAGAATATTTACTAAAAAAAAAACTTCTCGATATTCGTAAAAAGGAGTCGATAAAAAAAAGAAGGAAATGTCCAAGCAGACAAAAACCTTGGAGCGTTACAAACTTTATTTTTAAAGGGATAAGATATTGTGACACCCAAGTTATGTTACACTCATGTGACACCCAGTCAATCTCACCGTTAGATCGCTTATGTTGATCCAACGGTTATATTTATTTCCATCTTTGTATGGTCATGATTTTCCAAATTTAATATTTTATATTTATTTCTACCTTTGTATGGTTATGATTTCCCATATTTAATGCTTTCACTTTAAATTTGGGAAATCATGACCATACAAAAATGGAAATAAATATAACCGTTGGATCAACATAAGCGATCTAACGGTGAAATTGACTGGGTGTCACATGGGTGTAACATAACTTGGGTGTTATAATAGCCCAACTTAATTAATTAGTAAATCTAGTGTAATTAATTAATTAAACATGTTTTGGTGAGTGAAATTAAGTATAAGGCTTAATTAAATGAATCTGAGTCACTTTGGAGTTAAAAAGTGTACTCAGTGGAAATTAAGGGGTATAAATGAGTACTGGTGAAAGTGCCCAAAATATAAAAATAAAAATAGTAATATTCCTAGAATAATATTCCAGACTTTTGGGTGAAGTTTGGTAATTAATGGAGTTGAGTAGATAGACGAACCAATACCCACATGTTACCACTTAACCTATGTTAAGTGATAAAGTAACCAAAAAGAACCCAAATCCCCCCATTTCCCCGTCGACGCCAGAAATAGAAAAGAAGAAAGGAAGGAGAAGGAGATGGAGGGAAAGGGAGGAAGAGAAAACCTAGGGGGAGCAAATCTCAACCATTTTGAGTGATTCCAAAGCCTAAACCACTCCAAATCTCCTCCTCTTTCATAATCCTAGCTTTGTTTTGAGTGGGGAGCATTGTGGAGAGAGATATTACCTCTCAAAAATTCGGCCCTTTGGTGAAAATTGGGGTTTTGAGAGTTTCTTCTTCCATTGAAGCTTGAGGAGCCATCAATCCTTGGTTGTGTGATCATTGGTGGTAAGATTCTAACCCTTGAACCTCATGACTCCTTGAAATTTGCATGAGTTAGGGTTTATGAATAGTAAATTGGGATTTTGATGAAATGTATTTGAATTAGCTATGTTCTAGGAAGAATGGAGCTTAGAGCATGTTATGGAAAATGGTAGGAATGTCATTTAATCGGTGAAAATGAGCTTAGATAGCTAAATGAGTATACTTGTAAAATGGCAAGAATATGATGCTTGATATTGGATTTCTTGCATTGTTGATAAATGGTATGGCTTGGTTTGATTGATGATTGTGTCCTAATGATGTCTAGGATTGAGAGATTTGGACCGACCGTGAGTGATCAACCGCTTGAACAAGCTATGGAGCTTGAGTAGCTCATTGGAATTGGTAAGCTCACACTTGTGTGGTGTTTTGAATTAAGTATTTGATGGTTGATTGTGAAATACTCTTGGATGCAATGTGTTGATTGCATTACACCATGTGTAGGTGTTGGTTTTGGAGTAGAGTATTGTTGACATTGGTGAAGAACAAAGGTCGACTGAAGCATTGAGGTAAGCCTTCGGACCTTGGGTGTAATTCCCTTGACTGTTCTACCAAGCCCTAAAAAGGGTAGAGGTTGTGATTGTGTATATAAATGCAATAAAATAGTGTAATGCTTTGTTATACGTATGTGTATGCATTTGGTGTGGCATAGGATGGTGTTTCCCTATGTGGGTATGTTGCATGACGATGCGTAAATCATACATGGTAGTTAGTTGGCCAGTAGGACTATTTGCATCCGAGTTTCCTTAGGACAGCTTGAGAGCTCGAGGGATTTCTCCTGGAGATGTAGTGCACTTTGCATAGATATGTATTTACTGCATTATTATTGTTATTGCTATTACACTGATATGGAACTGTGGGGTGGAGAGATGCTCTAAGGATCCCTGGTTTACTGGATATATTCGTATATCTCACCCCGTGTTGTGGGGACCCCCTTTCAGGTAAGGATGATGCAGGAGCCTCTGGTGGCAAGTGGTCATACCTGGATTATGCATGAAATGTGGCATTTCTTTTGAGTTTATGCATGCCTTGTGTAGTTGACATGTATAGGATTTTATTTTGAAAGCCCATGGTCATTTGTATATCTTGATTCATTGGATGAACTTAGCCTATGCTCATGCCTTTGGTTACACCTTTGTTGATGGGAGCCAAGGGAATGATCATAGTGTTTTGTAAGCTAAGTTCTATGATTTATAAAGGATATGTAATGTAAATGATGCCTTCTTGAAATTCAATATATGTATGCTTGTTATGTATTGAGTTGTTGGATTGGTTGGGCTGAAAATCAATTAGGTACCCTTTTGTTTAAACTGGTAAACGATGAGAAAACAAAGGTCATGCTGCCCAAATTCTAGCTAAATCTCATGAGGAGAGGTTGGATGAGTGCTAGGATTTAGTTTTGGGGCATGGACAATTGGGGTTTGTAATGGGGATGCATTTTCCCCTAGGCTTGGACTTGAGAGATGTGGGAATTGGAATTCCCTGGCAGCGCGCTTAAGCGCCCAGGAGCGCGCCCAAGCGCCCTGCTGCCCCTGCGAGTGCCAATGCATTCTGCCTCCTCGCGCTGGAGCGCCCAAGTGGGGGCTGAAGCGCCCAGGATTGCGCGCTGGAGCGCCCTGGCGTGCGCTTAAGCGCCCTTTGCTGCAGAAAGTTGGGAGGCTTGCTGTCCCCTCGTGTTTTAGCGCCCGATAGCGCGCGCGTGAGCGCCCGGTAGCGCGCTAAAGCGCGCGGGGCCTGTGACCAACACTCTCTTGTGTTGCTTCAAATTGTCCTAACTTGGGCTACAGTGCTCCGATTTGAGCACGGTTTGAAGCCACGGGTAGCTAATGAAGAAACCTACAATATAGTAGAAGTTTTGAACTAAACAAGAAGTAAATTAATGGTTTAAAAATGGAAAATGATCATGATGTTAAGCTTAATTTATCTGTTTCCGCAAGGTAATATGGTTATGATCACGAAAATGGGTATTATAAGTTCTGTACGTTTTAAAATGAAAAATTTATCCGGATTTTAATTGAACCCATGTGATTGTAACTGCGCTTAATATCATAATGCGATGTTAACAAACCGGTTCTAAAACGGGGCGTTACATTTTATGGTATCAGAGCAGTTTCGTCGGGAATAACTGTTAGCTATTGATGAGTATGCTTGTGTTTGATGCTTTATAGTTGTTTTAGTACTCTTTATGATTATTGCATTTGTGATCACTAAGTGTGGGCCTGATCAACTCACTTCTTTGTGTAACATGTGTAGTGACATGACGAGGAA